TCATATGAGTATGCCATAAATGTAATGCCTGTTTGTCCGGCAGCCTCGCCTCTGGCTACACTGTAGCTGCCATCACCAGTGTGTGAATGGGTGGATGACTGGATGTGTAAAGCGCTTTGGGGGTCCTTAGGACCAAGTAAAGCGCTATACTTAAACTTTATTCTTTAGTCTGACCAACGGAAGCGTTAAAGTCTACACACACATTCATTCAGCCTTCGTAGTCAGAAGCTTTACTCATACACTCGTCTGTATTTAATCATTCTACTTCAGTTTGATCTTTATTTGTAAAATCAACAGTCCGTACACCCATGCTTGTTTGTGATTGGTCAGATGCTGTCAGCTACACCCTTCCTGTGAGCGTGCAGGGAAGCCCTGGGTTAGCGCCATGCTGACCTCTGAACCTGACTGGTGACATTAGGGTACATGAGCTGGGTCTGCCAACCTCGTTGAGCAGCACAGGGTGGTGAACGTATGTGAAGTGTTTTACTGACCCCCAGTGGCCAAATGCAGGAAGTACACTTTTAGTCAAACAGGAGTGAGATTTTGAAGGCTCAGTGTTTTGTCTCTCAGCTGCTGCCATTCTGGATCCTTGGAGGAAGGTCTTCATCCTCTACTTACACAAAGATCAGGGCCGTCCCGAGTCACCTGACCTAATGGGTTGGCTATCCTCAGATCCTGGCAGGAGGCACTTCTGCATCGCTTCTTGAATCCGAGATGATGTCTGTGGTTCTGAAGAGGTGTGCAACAGGTATCTATAGACTGCCCAGTCCAGGGTTCCTGGTCCGGCGTCATGTCTGAGCTGGTACAAGTGTGCAGAAGGCATCAGCTGCCAGTGAGTCCAGGAGCTCCTCTTCCTCATGGAGAGTAATTTGGAACCAGAGAGAATCAGAATCAGATGGGACAGTTTAGTCTGGGAACTAGAACCAGAACCCAGCCCACAGTCTAAAAAGCGGGTTACAGAGGTATGGAGCTTAAAAAGCAGCTTCAAGCTGAAAGATGCAAAATATATGCTTGAATTTAAAAAAAAAACAAACTAATAAAATGTTCATCTGATACTTTTATTTTGAATAAACTGAAGCAGCTTCCCTCACAGAGAATATCACACAGGACCTTAATGTACCGCACAACA